ATATGACCTTTCTAGGGCTAGGAAAGATGTTTTCAAATAGGGCAACTTCCACTTTCCTTCATCGGTCTGGAAGACTCCACCCTATCTCCTTCATGTCTCCACCTGCCAGATCTGTCTTCTGTTCATCCTTCAGCTCTCAGCTTAGCTCTCCGGGCCGCTTGCCTGGGCTCTGTGTGCCACTTTCTGCCCTTCCGTGCGCCGGAGCCAGCTGGTACAGGCTCCCGGAGCCGATCGCTCACATCACTTCCCAACCCCAGCATTGCGCGACTTGGTGTTGGCATCTCAAAACTGGCCACGGTACGAGTACATCACAGAAACTGGCAAATGGTACAAATCAGGGCTTTGTCAAAAACCCAAAACTGGGTGGTAAATATTTCCCAGCACCGCACTGTGCCCCTCCTGTATTTTCATAACACTCTGAACGCCACTTATTTCTTTATTCATTGAATGAACATTACTCACTCGCTGCCTGCTACATGCCAGATACCGTTCTCGTTGCTGAGGACAGAGAGGTGGGCAAATATAGTCCCTGCCATCCTGGAGTTTACAGTGTTGAAAGGGGACACCTGCCTTATTCAAATATTCACATAAAGAAAAAAGGAAATATAATTATGTTAAGAACTAAAAATCCTTTTAATAGCATATTCGATCTAGTCTACGAAGGTTTTCCTAAGTTAAAATCTGAAAAATAAGTTGGGGTTGAGGAAGGAACAAGGTGAGGTGAAGCACTGCAGTGCTTGTTTGATTAAATAAATAAAAACATCTTTGTAAGATAGCCGAAGGTCGCGGCTGGCCTGGTCTAATAGGGGATGCAGGCCAAAGAGTTGTAACATAGCATGAAGTCAGCACAAAAGACGGTGGCAGCGCAGAGGGGAGGGTGGGCTCGGTTTCTCGTGGTTCGTATGAGTGGAGTGGAGGGCATGCAGGATGGGCCAGCTGCAGAGAGTCGCACTAAGAGCTGTGGAGATACGCAAATGACACTGAAGCTTAAAGCTCTGTGCAGGATACAGACGTGAATAAAAACAGTGTGGGGGGGGTGAGGTCTTGTGGCAGAGGTAGGAGCAGGAGTGATTAACCTCCGCCAGAGGGAGGCTTTATGGAGGAGGGCCCAGGGCTCTGGAATCAGGCCTGCGCAGTTCAGGATGCTAACTTTGTCCCTCACTAGTTATCTAATTTGACCTCTCTGACCCTCAATGTCTTCTNACTTTATGGAGGGCCCAGGGCTCTGGAATCAGGCCTGCGCAGTTCAGGATGCTAACTTTGTCCCTCACTAGTTATCTAATTTGACCTCTCTGACCCTCAATGTCTTCTTCTGTAAAGGGGGAAAATAATAATACTAACAATAATAATACCCAGCTCATAGGGTTGATAAGAATTCACAGCTCATGCATGTAAAGTCTTAGCATAAAGCACACGATAATTATTAAGCTCTTATTTTTATGACATTATGAGTTGAACCTTGAGCGAGAAGAACTTTGATCAGCTCTGAAAGGGTAACAGAAGGAAAGCCGCAGACGTCCATAAGCATCTGACACATCTAGGGAACATCCCGTCAGTGCCACTTACAGGGTGGTTATCGGTGCAATTTACCAACAGTCTTCCCTGGTCCCTGATGAGATAAATATCGAAACTGAAAGTAAAAACTGAGAAAGTAAAAGAAAACAAAAACAAATCGACAGGAAGTTTATACTCGGATACTTGCGTGCTAGAGATAAAAATGGGGCTTGTAGATTTTTTGGTCTTTTTATTTTCACTTTTTCTAGCAAGTTTTAAATCGCATCCTACGAAACTGACAGCCCGTGACAGACTGGTAATGATAAACACTTGTCCTTCACCCCAGATGGTCTGAGGAAAAGTAATTCCATGGAGCTTCCTGGAAGCTTGGATGTCGCAGAGGTCATCCTTTATTCCGTGGGCCACAGGGTCACTAGAGGTTTACAGAGATTGTCAGCTGAGGGTTAGGTACCTCTGTATGCAGATAAATGCACATTGCGTGTTCCCTGATTCCCCCCCCCCCC